GCGTTTCATTGCCCGGGCCCGTCCCAATTACCCCCCCCTGCCACAAAGCACATCAGACGTTGCTTTGATGGCCCCTTCGTTTGCTCGGGCCGGGGGGTGGAGTTTATGTTTCGTTTTGTGTTTTGACAAGTCCGATGGGATGTGTCAGTCCACGGGGCTGGGACTAGCGAGACTGGGAACAGGCTCAAACAGACCACACTTGTTTCTGTGCTGTGGTGGGGGCACAAAGGGCCAGGCTGACAGAGCTGTGAGAACCCGGGGGGGGAGGCACCATTGCCCATGACCCATTCCCTGGACAAACCAGTGCTCTAGGAGATCCACTGACTCTGCACCATGCTCTGTAACTACCCGCATGCTCTGCGCCTCTCTGACTCTTCTGCTCACACGTGGAGGTCGTGTGCCTTCTCCTCCAGCTCTGAAGGTCTGGAGAGCTGGCCAGCAGGCATGGCACAGAGCCAGGGCCCTGCTGCCCACACCCCTGGCCAGCAAGGCCCTGCCTGCAGCCAAGCCGAGCGGTCACAACCCCCAACTGGCCTGCCTCAGCCTCACAACAGCTGGCTGGGGGAGGAAGTCTGGGGGACTCTGGTGGGGCATGGGCAGGACCACGTGAGGTGGCTTGGGAAGGCCGAGCTTTCCCCTGTCGATGATGCCACATGTCAAGAAAGATGTGGAGAAATTGGAAAGGGTACAGAGAAGAGCGACAAGAATGATTAAAGGTCTAGAGAACCATTAGCACTAGCACTAGCACTACGATTGACACATGGACAGGTGCCTTTCCCCCCTTCTTTTTCTGTTATAAATTCTGCGTTGCTGTTTTTTCCACTCCAGCTCATCTGAGGAAGTGGGTTTTTCCCACGAAAGCTCCTGACACTATATATATTTTTGTTAATCTCAAAAGTGCGGACTACTTGCTGTTCTTAAAGTTACAGACTAACACGGCTCCCCCTCGGAGACTTTTTGCCCATCCCCTGAGCCATTTAGGCCCACGGGGTCTGTTACTCTAGGGAGATCAGATGGGTTCCCCATGTGTCCATGGTTTTATCCACGCCGGGAATGTATCAGGAAGCCTGCACAGCAGCGGAAT